CTCATGAACATTACTTGTGCCGTCATGGAGCTCTTAGAGTTTTAACCAAATTTCATGTGCTGTATTTAAAGTGAATACTTGGTTAAACACATCCATGCTAAATGATTCAAACAAGCAATTCTTAGCTCTAGCATTGAAATGCATTTCTTTTTCATCACTCTTTGTGGGTTTTTGGGGATTCTTGATGGGTTTCGTCCCGTCACGAGTGACTCTCCATACACCCAAATTAACCGCCTCAAGGTGGCAAGCCATTCTAGCCTTATAATAAGGAAAGTTAGTGCCCTCAAAGTGTGGAGGCCTAGAGGTATCCATCCCAACCACTCTAAATAGCGTCGGCTCAACGACGGTTAAGCCAAAGGTCCAAATCGAGCCAACCGGCTCTGATACCAATTGAAGGGGACCGTGACGCCTAGGAGGGGGGTGAATTAGGCAACTTAAAAATCTACTTCTAAACTATGGCCTCTTTTTCTAACCTTAGCAAAACATATACAAAAGATAAAAACTATCTAAATATGCAACTACAGTTTTGCTAGTGTGTTGCTATCTCTACCACAAAAGGAGTAATACAATCAATGTAAATGCGGAAACTAAAGAGCAAGGTAGAGATATGCAAACTCCCATCGACGACTCTGATATTTTTACCGAGGTATCGAGAAGCACACAAGCTTTCCCCTAGTCCTCGTTGGAGCTCCTCGCAAGAAATCCCTCGCAAGGGTCAAGCTCCCGGTCGGGTAACTCCGAGGATAGCCTCGGGCCTTCCCCACGCGCAAGTGGGTCTCCGACGTGTCTTTCGGCAAGCCTCTCCCGGTTGCTCCCCGCCGTCTTCACTATCAAGCTTCCGGCTGAAACGACGCGGGCCTTGTTCCCTCCGGTACACGGTGGCGGCCACACCACAAACGCGGTTGGTGTGATCTCGTAAGACTACAAGCCCCTCCGATGTACAACAAAGGTGCGCGCAAGCACCGAGTGATAAGAGGTATGCAAACCTCACTAAACACTAGGACTAAACCTAGAGCAAGCGCATAAGCGGTGGTCTAATCAACCTAAGCGCTTCGCAAAGGACCTACGCTAATCACCTAATGAAACACTAAGTACTATGCAAGTGGAGATCACTAAAATGGTGTATCAACACCCTTGATATGTTTCCTCAGCTCCACACCTACCAAATGGCTGGATGAGGGTTGTATTTATAAGCCTCACTGAGAAAGTAGCCGTTGAGGACGAAATCCTACTTTTCTGCTACTGACCGGACGCTGGAGTCGTTCTGATCGGACGCGTCCGATCGTCATGACTGTTGGAGCCGCGAACAACTGATCGGACGCTGCCAGCGTCCGATCACTTACCACCGGACGCGTCCGGTCGCAAGTTCGCCGCTCTGGAACCTCTCTGTACTCGATCGGACGTGCTGTCCTACGTCCGGTCGGTTTTTCGCCGGTCCGTCCGGTTCTTCTTCTTTGTTGCCGAAGCCTCTCGATTGAGCGTCCGGTCGCTTTGCCGTCGGCGTCCGGTCCTTTCTGCTTGTGAGCTCGTTTCTTTGCGATCTTGCGTGCGGCTTGGTTCCTATCTTTATGCTTGGACTTTGCTTGATATCTTGGGTCTTCTCTTGTGCTCCTAAGGTCTTGCTTGAGGTGTTGATCATCGGATCATCACGTCGCCTTTATCCAAGTCACGTCTTGCATCCTATTGAACTACAAAACAATCACTTGCAAATTTATTAGTCCAATTTGGTTGTGTTGGTCATCAAGCACCAAAATCCAAAGTAAATGAGCCTAGGGTCTATTTTTCTTACAATAATAACGTTTGATTAGGAAATAAAATAAGAGCACACGTGTCTCTCTTAATTTGTCCTAAAATTTCTGGAATACACTAGATCAAAGGATAAAGGGAGGAGCTGCTAAAAATTATCAATTCTAGTTAATTTGAGTCGGATATATAATAGTTAGTTGCAAAGTTAACTAGGTGGATTTAAACAAAATTATTAATGGTATATCTACAGGGCCGTCTCCAGAAATTTGGAGCCCCAGAGTGAAATACTGGCCAGAGCCAAAAAAATTACCATATTCAGATATAATACAAACAAGAAATACAATTAATTATAGAGCCTCTATATGTAATTAAAGGCTTGTTTGCTAGGATTGATATTCTGACAAAATCAATGGCCTTCTCGGTTGCCCAAATCAGAGACCATCGCCCTGTTCACTTGCTTTATAAGCCATATTTTTTTCAGTCAACAAATAATATTTTTCTCTCACAATAAATCAGCCAACAGTACTTTCAGTCATGGCTTATCAGCCAAACGAATATGGCACGAGTTGGCACGTGGCTTAGTTTGGGGAAACAAAGTGAAATATTTTTTTTAGTGTGCTAATGCTAAACTGCAAGGCTAGGCTAGTGGTCTGTATAGGGCCATAGGGGTACTACGTTCAATGTTCTACTGAAAAAGCGACGAAAATAAAAGAACCATGCATCACTGAAACACTTATTTAATGATCAATGAATCTAGTGTTACTGCAGTGCTAATAATTTCTGCGGCTGATAAGTCAATTAAAACTGATTTGTTAAAAAAAAAAAACCACTCTATGACTGATAAGCCATGATAAGTTCAAGCGAACATATAACTTCATTTGGATATGCACTGGACAAGCCTGCCTTACTGCCTCTGCTAGTGTGCGGAGAAGGGACCCTATAATTTTAGGGGCCCTGTGCGGGTGCTCGCCTCGCACATCCTCGTCAACAGGCCTGTATATCTATGAAACGCGGCATTTGTAATGGCATGTATTCAATTAACCCCTCAGATAATGGTAGAGATAACTTGGATACTTCATAAAGAGAACTTAAATGTGAATGCCAAATTGCACCATAGTTCAAGATCAGACAAACAAAGTTCACGCTGGTAGAGTAAGCAATAACATAGCCAAAGCTATACATTGCTATAGCAATCCCATTAATTCACAAAAAATTGTAGGCCACTACCCACCACGTCTGATATTACGCATACCACGTTACCACCTCTGAAAAAGGCAATGAGAGTTATAAATCTGACTATTCTCCATCAGTATTCCAATACAAGCACCAGACGTTTGCTTTCGACGCTGGTGCTGGTGCTGGTGCCGGTGCCCTACAGGCAGGGAATTTAGAAAGGCAAGCTAGTCCATCAGCACTGTTGATGTCATTTGGAGTATGCATGTTCTGACCGTCTTTCTAGCCAAATTGGAAAGCATCTGGTAGTCTCTCCAGTGTAGTTGGAAAGCATCACAATTGTAGCCCGCGATAGCATTTCAAGCCCTTGTAATTTATTTCTTTGAAGAACATATTGTTGCTTCAAGGATGGCAATGAAATCTGCTTTATCCACTGTCCATGATATTGCTTCATTCTCATCCATGTGGATGGATTTCTTGGAAAATGATTTGATTCTCTGGTTGTCTTCTGAGTTCTGACTTTACTCAAGAATTTGTTTAATTGATAGTAGCTCGATTTCTCCAAGTACTTTTGCAAACCAGGGAAGCATGCCGATGCAACTGAACTGTTAGTTGGAGACTGCATAGTATGATTATCTGGATAAGAGAATGATTCTGCAGCATACACAACGAGTAAAAGACCGTAGGGGCAGCAGTGTATTCTCAGGGGATGTGAATTCTCTGCAACCTGCAAAATTTTCATGGACAGAGTAGTGGGACGAGTTAAATTGAAAGTTAACACCCAAAGAGAAATGGTCCTGCATTTTCGTATATCACGTGGTCAGCTAGTGACACACTTTGCAAAATTAGATATATAGGATAGGATTTGAAGTCAAGCAATAGTTAAATGGACATAGCACCAAGGCTCCAAGCCCCTCAGAAGAAAAGGAAAGTACATCCTTCTGAACAACATTCGTGCAAGTTCACTAATTTATATGCTTCTATAGTTCAATGTTTACAGTAGAAATCTACAACATATAATAAGTAAAATGGATAGAGATGAAATAACACAGAAAAACTGAATCAAACACAAATCAGCAATACAATGCAATCATCTTGTTTTTAAAAATATATATGAAAACGATCATCAAGGGACATTTTTTATAATGATCATCAAGGGACATTTAGGCATTAAACTCTGGAAAGGAAGGAACTCCAATCCCTAAGAAATAGTCTATACGATTCAACTTGACTAAACAAAAATAATCGTGTTACGCAAATGCATGTGCAGTTGACGATCCATGCTTGATTCATTACTAAGTCTAGTTCAGCGTAAAAATATGCTGGATTGAGAATCCTGATGGAAGAATTATGCACAGCACAAGGGCCCCATCTATGAGATTTTTTTCTGAGAATGATGATAGGAGATAGCAACCCACATGAAAGAAGCCTGGCCATGCCATTTATAGGCTACAGTACTAATGAAGAGCATGCAGCAGTGGTTGCACACTTGCACTGTAATGACAGCCCAAATATGAACAGCAAATAATGCCAAAGACAAGCAAATATAGGAAAGAAATATTTGACATAAAAAGGAAGAGGTTCAATGGGACACCACATGCAGACTCTTGATGTCTGGTTGTTCCTATGGCTAAATGCTAATCATACTTAACAGCAGTTGAGAATTCTTTAGCTTGCAAGTTTCCTCACCGACTGATAAACATGCATATGATTATGAAGAGTAACGTATTAGAACAAAATATACTTTGAATAAGACAGAAGAATTGAGAACTCTCGGAACAAATAATACAAATATTATTATCAACAAAAGTAATTACATTGTGATACTAATCTGCACAGGTTTGTCCAGATTCCATCTATAAGAAACATTTTAAAGGAACTGAGCAGCAAATCTGCAACTAACAGTGAAGCTTCTTTGAGTCTAAGTTGGGACTAAACAGTCTCCTACAAGAAAGAATATGGCAGAAAAACTTACGATGCTGCCAATCCTTAGAAACCAAGTAGATTGCAAAGAAAAGTTGCTTCTGCTGCTGCCATCTTAAAAAAACGCATGGCATGGGCTAACGCTCTACTTCAGCCACTCATATGAAACCGAAAAGTCCTCTCGCAAACAAGCGTGAACTTCTCCTCCTCCCCCTGTTTGCAATTCTGGAGCTTCTCATTGGTGTCAGATAAAACCGAAGCATCCCATTGTCCAGGTTCCCAGGAGATGTATAATGAACACTCCTGCTTCTGCCAATCTTGCTATTCTTGAGCCAATCGGTCCGGAAATTCTGCGCATCCCCATTACTTGCAGCCTGTGAGCTTCGGATCGTGCCTTGGCTTGCTCTGCCCTGAACATGTCCGTTGCGTCCGGGTTGATGAATTTCGCCACTGATGTCTGCTGCCTCCGCATTTTTACCCTTCCGGACTTCTCTCCTGGATTCCGAGAGGGACCGCTCGAGAACATGCTCCCCTTTCCTCACAAACTCCTTGAGCGGACTCGTTATGCTCCGATCCCACACCCTGCTCCACCTGTTAGACCTCCGTCTCCCAACACCAGAGACGGCCATCTCCATCCCAGTGTCACAAGAGCTCCTTCCCCTGAGACTCAGACGCCGCCCATCGCCCCCTGCATCAGCCGAGTCCGAGTGCCCGCCATTCCTGCTCTCAGCAGCCACGGCGCGGGCCTCCCCGACCGCTTCCTCCGCATTGCTCCTCACCCTCCTCGCTCCATCCTCCGGCGGCTCCGGCTCCTCTAAGCAGGCGAAGGAGCACGCGAACGCCCTGCCCACCATCGACCCGTCCCACGAGTGGCGGGGCGGCTCCAGGGAGCCTCTGCTCGGGTCCCGGTCCCGGGACGCCATCCACTCGCACGAGCGACGGAAGCTCGGCTTCCGCTCCACCTGCGCTCCGCCGTCGTCGCTGGCGCTCGGATCCACCACCGCCACCCCGCGCGGCGGCATCGAGGGCGGCTCCTTGGCAGAGGCCGCGGGCCCATTCCTCCTCCACCGCAACGCTCCCCTCGGCAGACGAATCGACCGGAGCCACGACCCGGGGCCCTTCCGCTTGCCCCCTCGACCTCCTTCTCCGGAACCCGACTGGAACTCCGCCAACGACTGCGGCCCTTCCGACGGACGCGCGCCGCCACCGCCGGTGGAGTCGTCGAGCTGGAAGAGCAGCATGAGCGTCTTGCGCAGCCTGCCCCGGTCCGCGGCGCCGGAGCCCTCGGCGGGCTCCGCGGCGGCGACCTCGACGATCTCGGACTCGGGCTGGTCCCACACCGAGGAGAGGCGCTCCATGAGGCAGGAGGAGCAGATGCCCGTGAGGAGCTGGGACGGGTGCCTGCCGCACCGAGGCGGCTCCGGCTCCGGCTCGGGCACCGGCACCTTCTCCTTGTTGTCCCTCTCGGGCTGCGCCTGCTCGTCTTCCTCCATCGGGTCGGGTCGGATGGAACTCTCGCGGAAACTGGCTATCGCAGGCCGCCGCAGCGCAGCAGCCACCCAGACAGCAGGGGAGTGAATGGAGTCAGGCGGGGACAAGCTGGTACGACATGGCCAGAAAATCGCGAGGGAAAAAAAGAACCCTAGCGAGACACCCGAAAAGCGACTTTTGGGTTTGGGGGGCAGCGCGCGTGGGGAAACGTTAGGAAAGGTTCGTGGCCTTTTGCAAGGGGCCGCCGCCCCGGCGCGGGGGAGGGCGGGGCGGGCGGCGGATGGGAACTTTGGCTTTGTCCCGGGCAGGGGGCGCAAGGCGACCCAGGAGGTATCGCCGAGCCGGGACGCGGCCAGGCCTCGGCCTCGGGCGCGAACGATTCGCCCCGCCCGCGGAGGAGGGAAGGGACTCGTTGCGGTGGGCGCGGCGCACGTTATAATACCTGTGCTGCTGCTGCCACTGGATGGGTGAAGGCCTTGAAGGGTGATGATGGCCCTGGGCTGTGGCCTGTGGGGCTCGCCCGCACGGCTCCGGCGGCCAGTGGCTCACAGGACTCACGGCGCGGGATTAATTTCGGTGGGCGGTTGGCCGCGCTGGCTTGGCTGGGAGTCGCGGCTCCGGCACCGGCACCGGCTGCGTAGGTACCGTGCGGTTGGTCGTGCCGTGCCGTGCCGTCCTACTCCTGCCTGCGGCGAGATAAAAAGATAAGGCGGTGAGTGGCCGTGCCGTGCGTGGTGCGTGCCGAGCCCAGCCAGTTGCCGATGCGCAAGAAAGCAAGATGCGAGGCTGTAGCAACCAAAGCAGCTGTCGTTGCTGCCTGCTGCTCATGATTTCAGCAGACTATATCTGACGAAGTCCCTAACAAACTGAACGGTATTTGGACTGTGCTCTTGAAGTTAGGGCGTGTTTAGTTCCGAAAATTTTTGGCTTTTGGCTACTGTAGCACTTTCGTTTGTATTTGATAAAAATTGTCCAATTATGAACTATTTAGGCTTAAAAGATTCGTCTCACGATTTCTCGGCCAACTGTGTAATTAGTTTTTTTTTCGTCTACATTTAGTACTCCATGCATATGCCGCAAGATTCGATGTGACGGGTACTGCGCAAAATTTTTTGGATTTTGGGGAAAACTAAGGCCCTGTTTGGTTCCAAATAAGTCACCTACTTATAAGTTAAAAAGTGAAAAAAGTGACTTATTTTGCCAAACACTACCAACTTATAAGTCACCCCTACTTATAAGTTTTAAGTTGGTTCACCCCTACTTAAAACTTATAAGTCACCCTTTTTCACGTGGAGCCTACACCTTTAATGAGCTTATAAGTCATCTACAACCAAACAGACATGACTTATAAGTCACTGATTTTCAGTCACCTAACTTATGAAAACCAAACAGGGCCTACTTCTACCACGAGGTAGTAACGTTCAAAGTTTCTTTTGTTTCTGGTGCCACTTTGGCTGGCAGATAGCCGCCACTTTTACCTGGGAATTAGGTCGAGCTGAGGCCTAGCTGAACCAGGTCTCTCTTTTTTCTCGTAAAAAATTTACGTATCATTATATTAAGGAGAATAGTTTAAACAAATAAACAACACGCTTCTAACGAGCGTCGAAGGAGGTCGACTTAACACAGTCGAAGCTGAGCCATCCTAACAAAAGATCTCAAGTTTCGATATTACATAAAAAAAAACAACCAATATTAACGTAGCTTTATAACCTAGAAGATGGCCTTGCGTCTTCACGGCTGTCTAGAAGATGCCTTTCCAACGGCTGAACCAGCTCTCTCGCTCAGTCGCTCTCTGACACGGTGGTTTATTAGTATCTGAACTAGAGCAAACCTAACAACTAGGGTGGTGGTGCCCGCAAACGGGCAAAACAGTGGAAGTGGACAGACGCCGAACCCATGGATCTATGAGAAAACAGCTCATCGGGGGCTCGTTTAGATTGCAAATTTTTGCAATCTGGACACTGTAGCACGTTTCGTTTGTATTTGACAAACTTTGTCTAATTATGGACTAACTAAGCTCAAAAGATTCGTCTCGTGATTTACAACCAAACTGTGTAATTAGTTATTTTTTTTACCTACATTTAATACTCCATACATGTGTCCAAAAATTGATGTGATGGAGAGAGAGTGAAAAAACTTAGAATTTTGAGGCAATCTAAACCAGGCCCGGACGAAAAAGTCACAGCCTACGTTCCTGCACGCTACACATTGTTCATGTACCGCTCGATGCCGCCAGTCTGTTTGATTTGATCCCGGTTGGCCTACTGGGTACTGGCCCGTAGCCCTGTACGCTTCCTTACAAGTGGGCCTGCTTGTCGCCGGACAAACAGTTCGGCAGGATCCTGTACCAAAATACGACTATACGAGTAGCTAGCAGGGGGAGAAAGGACGTCACTCTCACTCCCTACTGAGCAGTTGTCCATGTGCATTCGTGAAGTAGAAGATTGCGGTTCTAGCGTGCCCAAATGTCAATATGCTTGGTGCTATCCAGTGGCATTGTCCTATCGTGGAAAATTTTGATTCTCATAGTAGCAATGTACGTGGTGATGACAAAGTACACGAGGAAGAGAAACACGCACATGCCCAAGTGCCGAAATTCTTGAAGTCTGTTGAGCTCTGCTCTACAAGTGAGTTTGAGATGGAGTTACTGGAAGGAAATGAGGGATGAACAGGCTTAACGAAACTGCTTTGCTTTGATTAATCATCTACAGAGTATTTGCGTTGTGTGACAATTTACTTGACACCATGCAGATGCAGTACAGTTTTTTTTTTTTGCATTTTTTTACCAGTGCACCGGTGGCACATGGGGGGCTATTAATCTGCTCATTTGCCATCACTGATACGCTCGTACTCTCAATAAAGTATCAAGTCAACAATCGACAGCTTTAGGGCCTAATCAGACATTCAGGCCTAGTTACGCTACGAAACGCACTATCCTCGCACCTTCTTTGCATCAAGTTCGGTCGGCCAGCACCAGCACGACTGCACGAGCTTACGTGACACTTTCCGTTCCGGTCTCTTAATTTATTTCCTACGACTACGATCATTGGACGATGTCGCTGGTTGAGTTATGTAGTCATAAGTCCGGCCGGTACTAGCTTATTGTGAGAGAAAAATATTGTTAACTAGTTAATAAATTTCGGCTAAAATCAACGAGCGAAATCAACGAGCGAACAGGCTGAATGATGATGGTTGACCTCACATCGTCCATCCGACATGAGACGAATTGTGACTAGAACAATTTAGGCCTGTTTAGATTAAACGTGTAAAGTTTTAGGATGTCATATCGGATGTTATATAATGGTGTCGTATGGGGTGTTCGGATACTAATAAAAAAACAAATTACAGAATCCGCCAGTAAACCGCGAGACAAATTTATTAAACCCAATTAATTCTTCATTAGCGCATGTGTTACTGTAGCACTTTACTGTCAAATTATGAACTAATTAGGTTTAAAAGATTCGTCTCGTAAATTAGTCGTGTAAGGAAAATGGACCATAGGCACATTTACTTTGAATTTTGGTGTTTGATGACCAACACAACCAAATTGGATTAATGAATTTACAAGTAATTATTTTGTAGTTCAATAGTGCGTTTGGCTGGTTGGTTTTTCAGTTGGATTTCACTATTCCTGGCTGAAAAATATTGTTCACACTCTCACAAATTCTTTCAGATTCATCCAGATTCCTCCAAATTCCTTCCAGCGAATAGAGCCAGGGTACAAGACGTGACTTGGACGAAGGCGACATGATAATCCCACAATCAACACCATAAGCAAGACCCTAGAAGCCCAAGAGAAGACCCAAGATATCAAGTAAACTTTAAGCACGAAGATGTGAACCAAGCCGGACGCAAGATCGCGAAGAAACGAGCTCAGCAGAGGTGACCGGACGCGTCTGATCAGTTGCTCAGCAACAGCAGGCGTCAGCAGCAGCGACCGGACTCTGAGCGAGGCAGTGACCGGATGCACGGACTTCACTGTTCATCGTCGCGGTAACAACTCAGTGAGGACCAGACGCAACAGCTGTGTTCGACTGGACGCGTCAGGCAGTGGCGTCCGATTGAGTCCAGAGAGGTTCCAGAACGGCGAAACGTCGACCGGACGCGTCAAATGGTAAGCGACCGGACTTGCCAGAGAGTCCGGTCAACAGTGAGCGCCAACGGTCGGCTTCAACGGTCGAGACAACCGAACGCGTCCGATCAGGACAACCTGCGCGTCCGGTCAATGGCAGAAAGCTAGGTTTCGTCCCTAACGGCTACTTTCTCCATGGGACTTATAAATAGACCCCTCAACCGGCCATTTAAGGAAGGAAGAGCTGAGGAAACATATCAAGTGTGTTGATACACCATTTTAGTGATCTTCACTTGCATAGTTGTTGGGTTCATAAACCCGAGGTCCCTCATGGACCAGCTTTCCAGCCGAAGCTTGGCCCAGCAGACGGCGTTGCGAATGACGCGCAACTCCTGGGCCGGCCCAAAAATCTAACGACAGGCCAGAAGGACGATTTGGTCTCCAATCGAAAGGCCCGCCCAAGGAGGAACGATGTTCGCTTCCGACTTCGGCCCGCCTCTCTGACCGAAAGGCCTAGCCGAAGAGGAACAACGCTCGCTTTCGACTCCGGCCCGCCTCTCCGACCAGAAGGCCTCGCTTCCGACTCTAGCCCGCCTCTCCGACCAGAAGGCCTAGCCAAGGAGGAACGATTCTCGTTTCCGATTCTGACCCATGTCTTCGACCAGGGATGCACCAGGCCTCTGCTTACAGCTATTCTCCGACTGGCACAGTCGGAGCCAACTGGGACTAACCGACCGGGGACGCTCGCTCAGTGAGGACCCAGGAAACGGACAGAGTAAGAAAGGCATGGCGCTCAAGTCAACCGCAGTACCAAGGACCGTACTCTGTACACCTACAGGACAGTACCGACATGGCATGTCAGAAGGGTGCTCTGCAACCTTAAGGCATGTCAGAACTCAAGCAGTGTTGTGGGCGCCGACATTTGCCCTA